TTATTATCAATATGCAGAGTCAAATTTAAGTAGACCTAAATAGAGGTTTTAAATAGTGGTCGAATCTAAATAAGCACATCTACTCAACTAATTTACTTTACTTGACTCTTCCAATTAATGCTACTTTATACTTCTACCCCACACTACAATTCATAGGTAAATATTGTACTCTTTACTCCATATAAATACTATAAATACGATGCAGTGCTACTGATTCAACTGCACAGTAAATAACAGTATATCAAATATTTCAAAATTAGCATCAAATACTGTTTACACACACACACATAATAATCCAATAATGTATTATGTCATAGTATAACACTCACAGGGCCAACATATGGCTTTATGAATACTTTTACTTTTGCTTCACTTTACTTTTGATACTTTTAAGTAGATTTAGCAAATTATACTTTTTTACTTGAGTTTTTTTATTTTAGGGTTAGTATTAGTATCAGTATTTTTATATTGCATTATATTATCTAGATACTTGATTCTTTGCAGACAAGTTCAAAGAAGTTTATGTAAGTACAGTATGGTAGCAGCCTCAGTTGTCATTGTTTGTATGCATACTGACAGCTTGAAAATCTGAGTTTATTTAAAGGAATTAACTTCCATCAAATACTTTGTTCTTGCTGACAGAACACTAGCTGCCTTCGGGACCCCTCAATCATTTTCTCTTCTTGGAAGTTGTTCTTAATGTGTTGCTCTGGTGATCAGATCTTATTATAAAAAGCTACAGTTTGGGCCTGTCATTGCCACTGGATGACACCAGTGTTTCTCATGCCAGTAAAATATCAGTCTAGTGCCAGAAGGGTATTTTGTGGGCGCTTTCTCCGCTGTCTCATCTAATAGTGACAAAATCAGTAACAGTGACAGGCCATAAAATCCACAGTTGTGACTCTTTAAAACAGTGCTGTAAATCTCGCAGTAGTTCACACATCACACTGGACAGGAAGAGATGCGTCAAGCGAGCCACCACACGGGAAGTAAGACGATTTTACCTTCAAAATAAAATACATTCCTCATTTGAGGAGATTGGCGTTGTTCTTCAGCTCAATCTGGTTTCATGTTTGAATTGCTAGAATTGATTGAAATGTATAATTCAAAAGTGATATATTATTATCTTCACTAGGATCAATGTTAGTAGGCTTATGACATACACTGTCAGGACTGGCATACATTATATAAGTCAGCCACACTGAGATGGACATTACTATATCCACCATGTAAAACTGTTCACTTCATTTAGGGATGACAGCACGTTTACAAAGCGTTTTCAACGTGGACTTTAAGTAAGTTATGGTTTTATTTTGAAGTCGTGACCGGAAAAGCGGTGTCACGTTGTAAGTAACTTGACACCAGTGGTACCGTAGGCAGCAGCGGTGCCTAGCACCCCAACCCCCGGCTGAAGTATCACCTCGGTGGTGAGTCTCTGGAGCCAGGCACGGCAGGGCTCCGTCACAGCCGGTCTGTCACCGGTGTCCGGAGGATGTGGGCCTCAGTCATATAGCAGGTGAACCGCACTGAAACTGACCGGGTCGCAGTTTTATTCCTTCATGTAAGTAACCCTACTGCTTGATGCCTGGGCTTTGGGCAAGAGAAGTGATACGAACCGGTCACACGCCAAACTCCATTAAAAAATCTGTCGGTTTAATGTTTATCTGCTCTTCTGGGAAGGTGCACACAGCGTAGGACATCATTACATACTTACATCACATATAGCGCGATTCAGTGGGATTTCATCCCTGTTATTCAGCATACAGGTGGTCAATAAATATGTCCTTTATTCGGAAAAAAAATCTCATTCTTTGCCTTGGTCACAATATCACAATGTGTTCTGGTGAGGGGAATGGCAGATGGTCCAAACGTGTGTTTAAGCAGCTATTGCTTATCGGCGATGGGATTGATGCCGAATTGTAGAGGTCCTCACATATAATATAACGTCTTCACTCGTGTTATATTCAACGCGCGGTTTTTCCTGCAGGTAAGCTAAACATTAAATTGCCAGATTTTCAAATGAAGTTTGGCATGGGGTTCTCGAGGCGATAGTGTATCCCATGACATCATTGCATGGGCTTTCTCTCAGCAAACGGTCGCTTTTATTTTTGTCACCCCACCCCCCTCCTTACTGACTCAAGCCGGGTTGTTGTCTGTGAGACACGGTGTGACATTGACGATCAAGCGGGGCTCAGCCGATAAGATGCATCAGTGTGGCAGCCTGCACACCTCAGTGGTGTACAAAATGCATGAACATGTTTTCAGATGTAATAGTGGCCAGGCTGTCATGAAGGCAGAGCTACACTGTATAGCAGAGTCATTATAGGGGAGAAGACAGGAAGCGGCTCCCATCTCTGTTCAACAAGCCCAGCTAATGCATTATTTGTGAAGCTTCTATATTTTAAAGCAGTTTTTCTATTGGGACATCTTTCTCTGACATCATCTTTACAAAGAGACAACATGGACTTTTCTCTTTCATCCTATTCCGTACATCTGTGTGTGTGTGTGTGTGTGTGTGTGTGTGTGTTATCATTTGCTCTACCCCACAGGTTTAAATGATTTCTAATGTTATTACATCACTATTGAACATGACAGCTCTATTCTTCTCTTGTCTTCTATTACCTCTCAGTGTCTGCACTGATGACTCCACGCTCCGATTATCTTCATGTTTCCATTTAAACAGACAACAAGTCCATAAAACAGATTCCATTTAGCATTAATAAAACCTGATCTGTGCTCTGATCCCTGCCTCAAGGCCATGCTGGTGAATCTCCCACGTGGCCGTGCGTTTCTGTTGTAATAATCTACTATGCTGACATTAGAGAGAGACGGTTAAGATTAGATTACCCGGCCTGTGTCCTACGTTGCTTTTGGGCCACACAGTAATTGGGTTATGTAGGCACATTTTCTCCTGATCCCTATCCAATGCACAGGCCTGTGGGTCTGTTCATCTCCTTGACTGTGTCCTTCCTTCTTTCCTCACCACTAATCCCTCATGCTTACCTGTCTTTCACAGTTTCTACACAGGGCTGGAAAACATGGACATGATGATGACTTTGAACATATCTCAAATAGTAACAGCAGAGAATTTAAGGACATTTTGGTAAAAGTCAGGGACTTTTGCAATGTTTATTTTTTGTTTAAATATTCTTACAAATGCATGAGACAGGCTGTCAACCTCTTTAGATATTTTCTGCACGGAAACACACAAGCAGAAGGGAAAGAATATTTTGCAGTCATGCAAGCGCCCCAAATTAGTTCTGGAAAAACTAATAAAAGCTAGGTTGGGCGCCCTGTAAGGAAAGACACAGGCAAATATGAAAAAGTTGTGAAAATGTGTGGAATTTCACAGCACTGTATAGCTTGTTTTATCAGCTTGTTGACTACCGCTATCGCTCAGGGAAAGACAGGTAAGGTGAAGTCATTCAGCAGATTTGCATTAGACCGTAAAGTTGATGGATAATCAATTTATAAAGCAGGATTACACTCTCGGAGTAAGAGTCTTTGATAGTACTTGTGTTAAGAGCTCAGGTCAGTCGTAAAGTGAACTGTGAAGAAGGTATTTTTTCTAATGCAGGACAAAGAATGGGGGTGTGGTGCTTCAGGTGCTTGAGTTTTAGGCTTTTAGGCAGACACCCAAACAGTGCATAGAGGTTTATAATGCTGTGAGACAGGGTTTTACAACACTGGAAAGTTATCATGGCAACAATCGGTTCATCCTTTGTCTTTACAATTTCAAGGTAAACAGCAGAATTACAGTGTAACACAAAGTAATCTACTAGGAATGAGGGGTAGCATATATTTGACAGACCGGTGCTGTGCATTTGCAGATGATCTTGCATCTGCATTGCCAGGGCCATCTCATTTGTTGGAAGTCTTGGAGTTATTTTGCCAGCCCTCGGCGTCAGGACCCCCACAGCTGATGGATTGTTCTTGTGAAAAGAATGAGGAGGCTACATTTTCTGACACATGCCTAATTTCGCACTGAACGCAGCCTACGTACTCTGTGCCACGTTTGATGAGCTGAATGACTCGTCAAGAAGTTTGTTTGAGTTCTTCTTTCTGTTTTGTACCCATTGTATTTTTTTTTTATAAGACCTAGCCTGATTGTTTCCTGTCTTCTTTCCCTCAGACACAGAGAGCTTGGTCAATGGGAATCACCAGGCCGGTCCAGCCCAGTCTCCCCCAGCTCCTGGAGAGAGAGTCCAGTCTGAGCACAGTGCAATCGTCAGCTCTATTGAGAAGGACCTCCAGGACATCATGGACTCTCTAGTCATGGATGACCCCCAGCCTTCTTCTTCAGAGGGCAAAAAGCCACCTGAAGGCCAACCCATTCCGCACTCCCCTCTTTCACCCATGGTCAATGGAGGGGGCCGGTATCTGCTGTCCCCTCCTACCAGCCCAGGGGCCATGTCCGTTGGGTCCAGCTACGAGAATACATCCCCTCCCTTCTCTCCCCTCTCCTCTCCCTCAGCGGCCAGCAGTGGGAGCTTTACCAGCCCGTCTCCTAGTGGAGGACCCCAGGACCAGAGTTCTTCTCTGCCACCAGTGCCTGTACGCTCCTCTAGCTACAACTTCACCACCCAGCCTCCACCTGTACCCCAGCCACGGACCATACTGCCTAACTTTAGCAGCAGCGGGGTGGGCCAGAAGGTTCAGGAAAGCCCCAGGCTGCAGAGGAAGGTCTTTATAGAGGCTCCTCCAAGCCCCAAGCCAAGCCGCAGAGGCCTAGGCCAAGATGGCTCTGAGAGCCCCCGACAGACCCCTCTTCTGTCCTCTACGGAATCTCTCAGTAGTAGAAACATTGTGCCAAGTAGCCCCAGACTCACTCCCAAATTCCCCACCTGTCCATCCCCGTCGCCCTCCAGTCCCAGGACCAAGACAACCACAGTGCTCCAGGAAAGGCCTGCCAGCCCTTTCAGAGAGCAGACCAGTCTAGCTGATTGCTCCTCCAGCCCATCCAGGCAGCTTTCCCAACCCACCAGAGCCTTTCAGCCTCCCTTGGATCCCATCGTCCACATCATCCAAGGATCGCCGCTCCAGCAGCATCCACGTTCACTGCAGCCCCCTGAAAGTCCTCGCATGGCCAGGAGAAACATGGAGCTGAACGGCAGTGGCAGTGGAGGGGGCAGTAGTATGAGAGAGCTGCCACCACTTAGCCCCTCAATGGCTCGGAGAGGGGTCCCGGTACTCCCTGGGGCACTCCCAGGTACAGTCCCCACCTTGAGGACTCCAGATAGTCCTTCAGGCCTTAGCAAATTTGTCCCAGAGAGTCCCAGGCTCAGACGCAAGTCTGGATCTACATCTGAGGAGCATTGCAGCAGGGGGATCCGAGCCCGCAGTCCGTCGCCTACCTCTATGATGATGGAGGGTGGTGGTGGTGCAGGAGTACGGAAGGCGAGCTTTGGGAATTCCCTGTCACCTGCTTACAGTCTGGGCTCCCTGCCTGGCTCGTCCCCCGTTGCCAGCCCCAGGACCCATAGGAAGATGTCTGCAGGGAGACCCCACCCTGGGATGAGGGAAAGGAAGAACAGCATCACAGAGATCAGCGACAACGAGGACGAGCTGCTGGAGTACCACCGACGACAGAGAGAGGAGAGGCTTCGAGAGCAGGAAATGGAGAGACTGGTGAGTCAGGAACATGTCACGAATACAGTTTACATTTAAAAAGAACACATTTCATTCTTGTACTTGTTACAACATTTTTACTTAAAGGTTAAATCAGATTTACTTGATACTTCACAGGGTTTATTTTGTTTGTTTTTTACTCACAGCTTTAGCTATCAGGTAAAAAAAAACACTCAATTGGTAAACAGACTCTTTCATCAGAGTCCTGATCATAACTCCTGGCAGGAATGAGGATTCTGAAAAATTTATTTATTTAGCAATATCTTGGTGTTTTGAGGCACACTGAATACACTGGTACTAATGAGCCTTGGATTATGCTGTGCAAGTGGTTTGATAAGTTTGTGCAGATTGTTTCTTGTTAAAATTAGTCTGTTGAAACAAGTTTAATGGAGATTTTTTTGCAAAAGTAAGCATAGATAGCATTTTATGTATTGTTTGACAAAGAAAAGCCAGTGGGATGAAATAGGTTTTTACTGAGGATCTTCAGACGGGTCATAAACTTGCCTCCAGCACCTTCTAACCTTTCTAAAATAATTTTATTAGTATGATTATCACTAGCCGAGCTCTAGTTTGCAAATAAATGTTGTAAATATTCCTGCAGAGTCTAACTTCAATCTGTATGACCTCCTGGAGGAGAGGAGTGTAAGAATGGCAGTATCTCCATGTTTGTTTGGAAAAGAAGGAGTAACCAGGCTCGTAAACCATCTCAGTGAACTGTCTGTAACTTGGCTGTCTGCTGTTTAAACTGCCGCTGACATGCGGTCTCAGGGCGCCGAGATGAGCCCATAGCAACCGCATTGTTTGTTGTTTCCTAAACTGAACGGGGGGGTGGAGTAAGCGGCGTTAGCCATCTTGAACTTGTCTGCCAGTCTGAATGAAACTACTGAGACAAAGTCCTTTAAAAAGCCTTTCTATGTGTTTGTGCCTGCGTGAGAAGACGATTGTTTGCCCTGCTTGTAATTACAACATGGGTGTTTTTCAAAGTGTGAGACTGAGTGAAGGCAGCTCAGCTGGACGACGTGCCCTCTGTCTCTGTGGACCAGGTCTTGTTCTGGTACCTCCTACAAAGACACAGCAAGTAAAACAGTGTGTCGGCAGCCAGATCCATACACTGACACTGTGTTTAACCCCTAACAGTGGGCTGCGCTTAATGCTAAAAGGAGAAAGAAAGAGACCCACTCAATCAGAATCAGAATTGGTTTTATTTTAAGTAGGGTTTGACATACAAGGAATTTACATTTGTAAATTGGTGCATAACAATAAATATAGTATGAGAAATATCTAATTAATGGTATAAAGAGGAACGTTTTGTTTCCTCAGACAAAAGGAGTGTCTTAGGAGGTCTGGCTCTCACCACAGATAGGCATTGCAGAGATAGCCTGGAGCTATGGTTAGGGTTAGGGTTAGGTTCAGTCTCATATTGTTACTCAGGCAAACTCTGTCAAAATGTTAATTTTCACCAGTTTCCTGCTTCTTCAGAAATATTTTTGTTATCCAGCAGTCTGCTGCGTGCCCAGAATGAAAACAAGTTTGCCCGGAAATATCAGGAAAACATGTTTACTGTTCTAAGCATATAGTAGACATCACAAAAATACGCTATGAAGATGCAACCTTTTTGAATTGTCCCCAAAGAATTGAGTGAGTGTACAGACATGGGACTAGGTTAAGCGTTACGGTAGGGGTCAGGTTAAGGGTAAGGGGAAAAACAAGTCAACATGGAAACAGACTTTGACGTACATACAGTATGACATCTGAATTTCAGGTTCAGATGTAAGAAAACATTCACAATCACACTGACATTTCTAATAGAGCAAAAAAATCCAGCTCTACAGCTCTAGTCTTTGACTGCTTCCAACAAACCCAAGACCAGCACGAGTTAAACTTCAGGTTGACAGACTATAAGGCCAGTCAAAAGGAGGGTCAGCTGCATTCACATTTTATAAATATACTGGAAACATGGCAACAGAAAAGCTGTAAAGATGACATTAGAAGTGAGTGTTAATATGTAATATACACACGGCCACACATTTCATGGGAGCTGTAGTTTTTTTTCTACATTAAATAAGTGATGTTTTGCTTAAAGATCCAGTGTGTAGGATTTAATGGCATCTAGCGGTGTACATTCCAAACTCGAGAGACACTAAGGTGGCTGTGAAACATGCAAAAAAATGGCCCTACCTACAACCAGTATCTGGTTTATCCATTTTGAAGTGTCTAAAGCGTATAAAAACAGCTTCTGCTAAGCTAACAAAAATATAACAACTCTTATTTTCAGGTGATTATCTACTAAAGAAAACATACCTATGAATATTATATTCCATTTCTGACAATATATTCTTCTAAATGTTACACACTGGACCTTTTAATAAAAATAATGAAGGCTTCAAATTTGAACAACAAATGCTTAAGCAGATAGACGTTTATCTTAAAATCTAAAAAGTACACACCTGAAACACGTTTCATTGTTCCGAATGAGGAAGTAAAGTAACCCTCGAGCTAGAGAAACTAGCAGAACAGAGGCTAGCCTGTGACCATGGGACTTCAGCTCTCTATCTAAAAACAATCTGTAAAACTATTACACATTTAATTAATCCAGATGTTTAATGTTAAGTTTGGTAGTTAACTGATCATATAAGGGAAGCAGCTTATTCAAGAGTTCCCCAGCAAGTCCAGCTAACCTAAATGAATGTTTTTCACTCATACACTCAATGCATTTCAGGAGAAACACTTATTTGTAATTTCTTCTTATGATATATAGTACATATAGTACAAGCGATTTGCACCTCTCCTGCCCATACTGGCCTCCCCATACCCCGATCAGTCAAACCCTAAATCCTTTTTGTTGTTGTCGAAAGCGGTCATTAGCCACAGCAACCTTTGGACTAGCACAACTTACAGGCACTTAAAGAACAATATTGACACTAGATATGTGCAAATAGCTGCCGGCCCACCAGGTCAAGAACACATTTATTTCGAGTAAACACAGCGCACAGGGGCGAGCGAGGGCTGCCTGAGACGCAGAGGCAGGATTCCTCAGCAGCCTGTTATGTTGTCGTATTTTTCGAAGGCAGAAACTCGCAGCTCTTGGAGGAGGCAGGGCGTGGAGCTGCAGGGCCTGTAATTAGTCACAGTTGACTCACTGTCATGACAGATTTTTCTTGCCCCAGAGCGTGTGCATTAAAAGCATTTCACACACAGCCTGCTACTCATTCACACAACTGATTACCAAAAAACAAAGTTATGTGAACAGCGAGTCTCGGAGAAGTTTACTTAGGGGAAAAGAGTCTTATTGTGAAATCAACAGGAGTACACAGCTCAGAGGCAGCGGGAGGCTGCTGGGAGACTGCAGCTACACTCACACACTCATTTACTGATCTAGTGATGCGTATCAGGCTGATATTGAACTTTGAATGGGGTTTGGCCTGTTGGTGTTGTTGAAATGCAGTTGAGTTACATAATTGATTAATACCGCATTGGTTATTGGTTCCCCACTGGTGGCATTCAGGCTTTTTCAACATAATTAGTGGAGAGCTTTTGGACATACAATGTCAAGATATTGAATATTAGAAATTAAATGAAATCGGTCTCAGTCTCATTATTTTGGGTTGACACCCCATGTAGGTCAAACCCTGTCTATTAACATTAGTTCAAACTAATTATTAAAGTCTTGAAACAGTGGTTTGATAAAAACATTCAAGGTCCTTTTACTGGCTTTAGCCCAGAGCTTTCAACCACATATCAGTCTCACATATGGAACACTGCTCACATGATAACAGGTGGCTGCATGTACAGTAGGGAGGAGATTGTGAGCAATGTCTCTGTTCAAGGATGGACTTGAACGCTCAATTGCATCGCATGGTCTTCATCACATCTAGGTGGCCATTAGCCCGACTGATTCTGGATCTTTGAGGCTGATGCTGATGCGTATCAATGTTTGGGCGTTACAAAAATCTGATAACGATGTATCGGCCGATAGTATTTTCTAAAAATGTTATATGTATGTAACATATAAGATAACAAACAATCTTGATACGAATCCTTTGGAATTGTGTTTTGTTATTGTAAAGATACATACTAAGCAGGACATTTGTAAATAGTTTTTTAAAAATTGTCTCAATCCTAGTATGGCATTTCTTCAGTCCAGCTTGAACAATTTTAATGAGATGCATGATGGGAACTGTAGATCTCGGTGTTTTTTGGAGCTTAACCCATGGGAGGGGCTAAAAGTCAGGATCACCGCCATGACTTTTGTTGAGCTCTTTAAGGTCTGGAGGGGATTGTCTTTGAAAATGAAAATGATTGTTGTTGCCTAAGCATATCCAAGTGCTCCTGTGGACATCATGTTAAGGGACGGCTGTAAAACGGGCAAATAAAAACGAGCGAGTTCAAATCTGTGCAGATCTCCCAGTAAAGGTGCGCAGTGTGAGTGCACAGGAAGGTTGGAAGAGTCAGCATGAATGAGTGAGTGACAGTATGCATTAATGTAATAAAAAGTGTTGTTAAGGTCTTAGTGTCCATAAATATGTAGAATAACAGCATTTCCCTGCAGTTATTTCAGCCTGCACTGATTAGCACTCACGGCAACCAACCACAATGAAATCAGTCAACATACATAACTATGATTTCACAGATAAAAACAATGCTCGCTGTTAAAGTAACTTTTTATTTAGTTAAGCAGAAGACTGGAGTGCACTCAGTTTCCATGGCAACCAGCACGCCAGAGTCCAATAACTGATTTAGGCTTTCAACCCAAAAACAGTATGATCCCTCTGTTACTGTCACATCACATTTTCAGTAATCTAATAATACTGTAACCCTGGTTCTATTGTAGAAGGCTAAACACTTAGAATCCAATTTAATATACTTTATGTTCTTAATGCATTTATTATGATTTACTGTGATATATTTACACAGTATTTGACTTTATTATTTGCTATATGAAAGCATCTGAGGGAAGAAAAATTCACCTCTGCCCAAAGACTTGATGCAGAGACAGAGGT